CAGTTCAGTGTCACTGACGTTAAGGAATATTAATGTCTAACTTTATTAGATGCTTTCATATCCAGGCTGAATTTGTTACTTCTCTTTGGGTGCAGTATCAAAACAACTAGCTTTGTGACTTTGGTTCATTCTAACTGTAAAGATGGAAAAAAAATGTTGTGATACACATTCACTTGAGTTTATTACCAAGTTGTATTCTTTCAGCAATAAAGGCATCATTTTTATAGACCGTTGTTCTGTTTGTTTTATGTCCTATTGCCGCATGCAGGAAACTAATTCTGGATTATTAGAGGTCCCATTTCGTTTTTACCCTTTTAAACTAAACTAAAGGTAAATATGTATTATATTGACACTACAGAATAATTACTTATTATATAATAGCTTGTTTTATGGTGGTACTTTTTTTATCCTATGCCATTAAATGTCTCATTTTAATCTTGTATGTTTGAAATGTGCTCATTTGTGCCCTTAAATATGAACTTTAGTGGATATTACCATCCTCTTAATTCGGTCCACGTTTCTATATAAAACATTTTGGGTTTGAATTTACACTTTTTAAATGTGATATATACCGGTATATATATATATCTATATATATTAGCTTTTAGCAGAGGCTATGAGATGATGGAATTTTTAATCCATCCTAACCAGTAAGCTGCAGACTTTTGCTCATACACTCCTGTTCCTTTTATATTTCCAGCCAGTTACCAGGTCTGATAATAACACTAACCTTTAACTGGCCTGAGCAAACATTGACTCACTAGTCAAGAAGAAAAGCAAAAATCTTCCTGCTTTCTGAGCATTTCTTTCTTTTGCTCAAAAGCTTGACCAATGTTTCTCATCCTAAGGCAGAGAAGGAGTATTTTCTCAGACCTACTAGTCATACTGCTGCAGAACATTTTATGCATTGCTATCATAACCAGAAGTATTTTTTTTAAATCCAGCCTATAAAAATGTATAAAACCATTTATTTTCTATAATTTATTTTAATTAATGCTTACCTATTCTGCACCATTCCAGACCTGTGTATATATTATTTTTTATGTGTCTTTTTTTTATGGAAAAGCTGCACCTTTAAAGCATCAGTCTGTTTAAATGAACTTTTTTCACTTTGAGTTACTGAAACAAATTAAACTTTCAACAACATTCTATTTATTGTGACAATGACCTGGAACAGAGGTCACAGATTAGCAGTCCAGATCCGGACCCACCTGCTGGTTAATCCGGACCCAACCTGATTTAAAACATTTATAAAGTACAGCATGTTGTCCGACGGCAGTGTTTAAATGTCACTTGCGCCGCTTCTCCTGTTAATACGGTAAAGCTCTCTGGAGCGTCCGGCTCCAGGCTGCACGTGATCCAAATGAGCCAATGAGCT